TCATCGATGTTTCTAACTCTCTATCCCTCTCCCTTCCTCTCTGTAAAAAATCAATATAAAATATATAAAAAAATAAAATAAAATAAATAACACTGAGATCCTGCAGGGCTAATTAAATAATCAATTTTCTAAAGGACATTTAGAATAATACATTTTTTTCATGTTTAAATCCTTTTTCTTTTTCAATTACAGTTGACATACAATAGTATATTAGTTTCAGGTGTACACTCCAGTGATTAGACATTACCTAACTTACTAAGTGGTCATCCTGATAAATCTCACACCCACCTGACACCATACATAGTTATTATAATATTATCCTATATAATAAAGAGCTAATATGCAAATGACCGTCACACCCTCACATCGTCGCGCCATAATGGCTCAGATACTCAACACGGGGGAGAGAGGAATCAGGACCAGCCAGACACAAATGAGCTCACGAGAGAGGAGTGGGGACCAGCCAGGCACAAAAGAGCTTACGAGAGAGGAATGGGGACCAGCCAGGCTGCAGCCTGGGAGAGGGACAAGCCGCCTGCCCCACACTCCTGGGTGCCAGCAGCTGGGGCTGTGGCCCGGAAGAGAGACAAGCCGCCAGCCCCACGTCCTGGGTGCCTGCGGCTATGGCCCAAGCAAAGCCACCTGCCCACGATCCCCTGCAGCTGTGGCCAGCCTGGGCGAAGCTAGCCCAGGTCCTCGGTGCCTGCGGCTGGCCAGAAGGAGGGAATCCTGGGTCCCGGGTGTGGGGCGAGGCAGAGGTGCTTAGGGGCGATCAGGCCAGCAGGGGAGCAATTAGGGGTGATCGGGCCGGTAGGGGAGCCATTAGGGGTAATCAGGCAGGCAGAGATGGTTAGGGGCGATCAGGCATTGATTATATTCCCTATGCTGTGCATTACATCCCCATGGCTATTCTGTAATAACCAATTTGTACTTCTTAATCCCCTCAACTTTTTCACTCACCCATCCAAACCCCTTCCCATCTGGCAACCATCAAAATGTTCTCTATATCTATGAGTCTGTTTCTGTTCAGCTTGCTCATTTAGTTTTTTAGATTCAGTTATTGATAGATATGTATTTATTCCCATTTTATTGTTCATATTTCTTCTTCTTCTTCTTTTCTTCTTCTTCTCTTCTTCTTCTTCTTAAAGAATACCCTTAACATTGCATATAATACTGGTTTGGTGGTGATGAACCTTTAGCTTTTTCTTGTCTGGGAAGCTCTTTACCTGCCCTTCAATTCTAAATGATAGCTTTGCTGAGTAGAGTAATCTTGGTTGTAGGTCCTTGCTTTTCGTCAGGGGGGGAGGGGGTTGGTTTGTTCAGTTTGTTTGTTTTTTAATCTTTATCGTTGAGAGTATTACAGATGTCCCTCTTTTATTCCTCCTTTACCCCCCTCCACCCAGTCCCTGCCCCTCCCCAGGCCTTTGCCACCCTATTGTCTGTGTCCATAGGTAATGCATATCCTATACAATAGAAGGGTAATATGCAAATCAACCAAACAGCAGAACCACCAGTCACTATGATGCACACTGACCACCACAGGGCAGATGCTCAACACAGGAACTGGCCCCTGGTGGTCAGTGTGCTCCCACAGGGGGAACGCTGCTCAGCCACAGACAGGCTGATGGCTGGCAAGCGCACGGCCCTCCTCCACAGAAGTGCTAAGATGTCCTACTGCGGCTTAGGCCCACTCCCCATGGAGATCAGACCTAAGCTGTCAGTTGGACATCCCCGAGGGCTCCCGGACTGCGAGAAGGCACAGGCCAGACTGAGATGCCCCCAAACCCGCCCGAGTGCACAAATGTCATGTGCTGGGCCTCTGGTATGCATATAAGATCTTTGTTTAATCCCCTCCTGCCCCCCCCCCCGATTTGTATGCTAAAGTCACTGGAAACAGCTTGGATGGACTCAAAAGTTGGGTGGAGCAGAGTCTCAGGGACTCATCAGGGTGAGCCAAACAGTGTTAGCTAGGTGGATGGAATTTCAGATATGGCACCAGAGTGCCAGCTCTGTGAGGGGAGGTTTTATCAAAGAAAAAAAAAATGGCCTCTGGAAGCACATCTGTAGGTGAGAAAGCTGACCCCCAGCTCTCACCCTGGTGCTGGAACAATTCAGTTTCCCCCCTATGTCTCTGGTGCTTTTCAAGCTGCTGCTCCAGTGCTGGAGCTCAGAGGGAGTGAGTTCAAGTAAGTTTGTGCATGGGCCCTTTAAGAGGAACTTCCTGGGACTCCAGCAGTCTTCTGTTTCCCTCAGCCTCCACCCCCACTTGTTTTTACAGCCAGAAGTTATGGGGACTTCTCTTCCAGGCACTGGGACCCTGGACTGGGGAGCCTGAAGTAGGACCCCTCACTCCTCAGGGGTGACTTCTGCAGCTAAGATATTTCTCCCAATTTTTTTCCACCACATATGGGTGTTGGACCAGCCCATTCTACGTCTCCACCCCTCCTACCAGTCTCGACGTGGCTTCTTCTTTAATTCCATAGTTGTAGGACTTCCATTCAGCCAGATTTTAGGTGATTCTGAGTGATGGTTCTGTAGTTTAGTTGTAATTTTGATATGGTTGTGGGACAAGGTGAGTGCTCGTTTACCTCTAGAATAATTTTAGAATGATATTGTTAAGTGATCTAAAAAAGAAGTCTGGGGGCTTTAGCTAGAAATGATTGATAAAATTTATTAAAGGGTCTTAGAATTTAGAAAAACCCAGAAGTGTTCCAAAGAAGAAAGAAAGGTTCAGAGTTCCCAGGCTAGTTAAAACAAGAATAGAATCATTTCCTCATGCCTCAGCAGACTTGATTTCAGTAATTTAACAGCTTGATCATAGTGACTCCATTTTATTCCTTCATTCTGTTTTTCAATGTAAATGAGGGTTGATACAAAAAGACAGTGTCTGGTTTATCAGAGACTTCAGGTGGCCAGAATTCTCTATTCCTAACACTTTCCACTTACTTGAGGTTCTGTAAAGAACTGAACATATGAGTTAAATAACCATTCTATAATTAATTCTAGTCTTCATTGTTACAGAAAACAAGCATTACTTCATTGTTACAAAAAGCAAGTTAAGACCCTACAGTTTGACCCATGACAAAGTTGAACATCTGGTAAGAACCACTTCTGCTTTCAGGAGGAAGGGAAAGACCAGCTTCTTACCATTCATTCTTACTCATCAAACATAAAAGGAAGTCTTCCCAGGCCTGAAGAGGGTCAGTAAGTAGATTTCCAGCAAAAGGAGACAGTGAGAGAGCTGTGGCTGTCTGTGACATGGGGAAGCCAGATTTGAAAACAGTCAGAGGGGAGAGGGGTCAACTGTGGCCCTGAGGAAAATTCAAGCAACACTGGACTAATGTCTTTATGAAAATACAAACACATGCATGCACACACACACACACACACACACACACACACACACCACGGCAGATATGGTTACATCTCACAGTGACTAACAAATGCTCATTAGGGTGTTGCATAATAATGCTGGTTTGGGGGAACAAGGAGACTATTCTTGTTGCAGCTGTTGTAATTCTGAGAAATATCTTTAAGAAGATGACAAAAATCAGGTAATGTGGCAGAGAGCATGGCCAACAATCAGACAGTACTGGGCTGACTATGTTCACAATGCCGTGTACTAGCTGTGTGGTCCTGGCTGGGCAAGTTGCTTAACCTCACAGAGAAACCTTTTATTCATCCACAAAGTGTGAGTACTTGTGATTTGTAGGGGAGATAATGAATATAAAGTGGCTGCAACAGAGACTGATACAGAAGAGAAGTCATTATAGAAATGACTTCCATGCAAGCTTTACCTTTTACATGCTGAGGTGGAAAGACTTCAGGAAATACTATTAAGAAAAATACAGAACAGTATGGAGAGTGTGACAGCATTTATATAAAATCTTGTCTGTAAGACACTTGCATAGGTGATCTTAACTCGACCCTCATAAAGGTGCTATCAGATAAGTACCATCATTATCTCTACTTAAGGTGGAAGTGGGGATGCAGTTAGTTAACTGTCCAAGGTTGTACCACTGGTCAGTGGTGGGTCAGAGGCTTGAACCCAGATGCAATCTATCCCCTGAGTCTGTATGCTTCAGCGTTACACCATGGTTCCTTATAAGACACCACATCTATATGTATAAAACCCTAATATGCAAATAGACCGAACAGCAGAACAACCGAACAACTGGTCACTATGACGTGTGCTGACCACCAAGGGGCATGCACAGAACATGGCGGGCCATGGGCGGGATGGTGGAGCAGGTGAGTGGCACCAGACCAAGGCAGGGCACCAGTCGCTGTCATTGGGGCAAGCCTCTGGTGGTTAC